GGACACTTGAGCAAGTCCTATGCTAATTTTTATTTTTACTTGTGTCTGGCTAAAAAGGTGTGTGTCATCAAGCATGCAAGTTCACATGCCAGCTCTGCCACTCTCGTCTGTTTACCCTGAGGGTTCATGAATCTTTCTTGTCAGAAAAATCTTTGTGTGTGCCTGATGCCCTGAATAGTTGTTTGGCTGTTTCAAAGGTGATCCTCCTGCCTGCTGTGGATGTGCTTTGGTTTGGTATGATAAATGCTTGCTTTTTTTTCCCCTTCCCCCTCCTTCTGCATGGTGCATTTGACTGTCAGCATTCCTTTGCCTTTATCTGTGCACTCTTTAGGATGTCCATATGAAGTTGCTAAATGGAATTTTTATTGGCTTGGCTTAATAATCAAACACTTTCCAGGCTGGTTCTGTCTAGTGCTGTGTGGATCCATTCTGAGAAAGAGGACTCTCTCTTGACTTTTTTGCTTTTTTTTCCCCCCCTTTTCCACAGACTTTTGTTGGGGATATTGCTTATTCAAAGGTTAGGGTTTAATTAATTTCTGGAAAGGCTGCTTTGTTAGATTAAGTAAGGCCTGGGTCATATCAGCCTGGAACATCAGCATCCTAATTGGAAATTAGTGTATCGTATCGGTGTGTTGTGCAGAAAACCACAAAATGCATAGTGCAAGTGGCCCTTGAAATGTAACACCAAAACAAAGAAAAGCAAACAGGATATTGTGGTTGTGTAGTAAATAACATTTCAACAAAACATAACGTTGAGCTTTAAATGGTGATAATCTTTTACACTCAGAAATTACCTAAAAATTCTGGTGGCTGTCTAAATTCCATGGAAATCAGGAAGCTGTTAAACTGGTACCTTTTGAGCAGGTGAAATCATTCCTGTGTTGAACTAAATTACTTTTCATCTGTAGTAGGTGCTTGACTTTCCATTCTAATGTCCTCACGTTAAGTGATCATGCCCACATTTAATGTGTATTAATTATCAAAGACAATTCAAGTTTAAATAAGTAAGCAGTCTGTAAATCCTCCTTCAGATAGGTGGAATTGCATCATGAATTACAAACCAGGAATTCTCTGGACCTGGGTGGTTACTACTTTACTGGGTACTATTTTGTTCATAAAGTGAGTTGCTCAAACTCTAGCCTAGGAGGAGATTACATAAATTTGCTGTTGCCCAGAGAATGTCTGTTTAAAATAGAAGTTACAGTATATCATCACCTGCCCGGGGTTTTTGTTGGTGCTTTTGAAGCTTTCAATGAAGCTGGGAGACAAACCACGTCTCAGGAATGTGCTGTGATGTTCTGAATATTTATTACTGTTCTGTTTTCTGCCTGAGGAAGGGAAGAGGGATTGTGGGGAGTGAGAGGAGCACTGGGTCACACAGATGTGCAGGAGGCTGCTGCAGCATCAGCTCTGCTGGGGATTGCTTGCAAAGTGTCCCCTTCATTTCAGCTGGCGGCAGAAGTGCTTTAGGTGCCCCTGTGCATGTGTCCAGTATTACACCTGACCTGGGCTACTCAATCAAATCACTGCAGTCTCAGCACTGGTATCCTCTGCTCCTGTCTCCAGGTGTCTTTACCACCACATATTGACTTGGAAAGTTGTAGTCTGATCTGTATTGATCTGTGTTTCCATCTGAGACAGATGGAAAAACTCAGTATGGGGGAGCTCTCTATTTCAGCTTTGTTTTGGGCTTAGCTTGTTGTAGTCTGGCTTGGGAACTGGAAATGCAGATTGTTTAGTTACACCTACAGACGTGTTTCTTTACAGGTTTGGATATCTGACTAAGAATGATCTGTTACTGATTTAGTTTTAGCAGAAAACTGCCAGTGTGTGCCTGCTCTTGCTGGTGTGTCAGCGATGCAGGATTCATAAATGATCTGTGTATCAGAGCCTTGCCCTCTTTGACACCTGGGGGAGTTCAGCTTTCTTCAGGTTAGATTGCTATTATTCACTCTATTTTACAAAGGGATTTTGTTTTCCAAAATCCAGGTGGTCATTCTTCAGAGCCTTTTTTCTCTACAGTAATAATTGCAGGGCTGAGATTGTAATTCACCATTTCAGGAGTTCTGCTGGTAGTGATGGTGGAAAATATAGGGTGAACAAGGTTTAGACAGTATTTTTCAAGGAAAAAGTATAATCCAAGCAGTTTAGTGCTATAAAAGTTCAAGTATCTGAATGCTGTCCATGCTAATAAATTCTGGGTACTATAAGCCACAAAGCAATGAATTTGCTGGAAAGCTTTAAGGAGAATAAATTAAAAACCACTACCAGAAGATGGATATATAAGGGAACTTTGAGGAATTGGGACCAAATTCTCACTGACAGAGTTTCACAGAGAGGGGAAAATACCCTGATGTTTTCTGAAGCTTGGCTGGGAGCAGTCTTGTTTGATAATCATGTAGCAACTCAAGTTAAACATTCAGAGTTCAAGGGGAAAACAATTAGCATAAAATACCATTTTGATTGAGGTTTTTTGTGGCATAAACTGCATTCCAGGGCTTCCATCAGATGACCCATATATCTTTCATCAAAGCATGTTATTTCCTCTTTGGCTTTCTGTTTAATATTAACTCTGTCTGCACTGCAATTTCTTTTTCACTGGTCTGCAGGGTCTGTTTCTGACTCCCTCCAAGGTGAATCACTCCTGTCAGGTGAAGATGTGTGGTGCCCACTGCCTGCCACACTGCAGTTCTGTTGCTATCCCATGCAAGGGGTCAGAGATGGCCTGCTGCAGAGTTTTTGAGGCTTGATGCTAATTTGAAAGGAACGTGGATGATGTTTTTATGTCCATTATTTTCTTTTGTCTTACTGTAACTGAAGATAAACAGATCAGGCTGACCAATGAGCAAGAGTGCACAAGGGTGTCCCAAAAACTGCTTGTTCTTGAGATATTTGCTGAATGGCTGGCAATGCTTCTGGTTTGACCATTGCCTTCCTCCATAGCACAGCTCATACCACTACATTTTTCTGTCCCTGTTACCCCTGAGTACAGTCACAGATGTATTTTACTGTCTCTTGCTTTCAAAACCTAAATTAATCTTCTGTAATGATTAATTAGCCTTATATTTGCGTGGGGGTGAACTTTAAGTGGAAGAGATGCTTGGCTGTGTAAATGGGCTCAAGATGATGAACTGCATGACTCTATAGCTGGTGAAGTGTATCTCCAGACTGAAGCACAATTTGTACCACACAGATAAACACCAAGTACATACAACTACACAGTACAGCAGATGTGGCACTTGGACATGTTTTAGTGGTGGACCTGGCATTCCTAGGTTAATGGTTGGACTTGATGGTCTAAAGGGTATTCTCTATGATTCTGAGAGAAAACCCTTTAACCTGACCTCCGTATTTTTAATGCTAATATAACAGTATTGATTATGTATGTATCTCTAAAATCTGCCAGGTGAACAATATTAGCGTCTATCAATGGGAACACAAGAAAATCTTCTGAGTTTATGTGTGCAAGACCTCAATTTCAGGACTGTGGTTTACAAAATCTACTTTTGTTGTCCAGCAGTCTTCAAAGGCAGGTCACTGTTATAATTTTATTTTAATTATGTGCCAAGAGATGGGTAAAGATCTGTGCATGTTTCCATGGTTATTTTGGTGCTTCGTATGTTTTCTTCTCTGCTCTCCCCATGCTCTAAGTCGCTTGCTGGATTCAAGGGTCATTTCCTGTTTGCAGAACTCCTACGAACATTAGTAGGGCTGTTGTGCAAACATGTGGGGCTTCAGTATGGCCTCTCTTGTCCTTCCTTTTTTTTCTTTTTCCTATCTGCCAGCCATCGAAATAAGCACAATTCTCTCTCTCCTCTGTGGATATGGTGGGTACTCATGTGGGTGGGATTCTCAAAAGGTGTTCTGTCTCTCTGAAACACCTGCTGTCATAAGTCTTCCACTTCTAAATCCAGATCCAAAAATTTAGCATTTTTGTCTCTGCTGGTAGAAACTGCTTAGAGGGAGATAGATCTGCTTTGCAGTTTTCTGCAGGGCCAGTTCTGCAGAGATACTGGTTGAGCCAGAAAATCCGAACTGATCTCCTCCTTGGTGCCTGCCTTGTCATACCCTGTACATTTTTCAGGAAAAGGGAGGGTAGCAGGATGAAGAAGAACAGCTAGCTATAAGGTCTAAATATGCTCCATTAATCCAGATGGTCCTATCCTGCCTTGGTACTGGTTGCAGGTTTATTTTAAAGACTTGGTGTAGTACAGTGAGCTTTTGTACTGTCTCAGTCATTTCTGTGCTTAAGGTATTGAGATATCAGTCTCCTTTGTCTGCTGTCAGCCTCAAAGAGATGTTATTTCATAAACCAGTTCACTGAATTCTGTTAGGAATTGACTAAATTCCTTATGTGAGGGTGGTGGTCGGGTGGTGGAGTGTGACTTTCCTTCCTAGAACTGGTCCTTACACGTGCTGTAATACCCATTGCTCCCTCCACACATGTCTGAAGGAATATTTAGGCCCTTGGACATGACTTTTCAGGCCTTATGAAACAAATTTTGTTTTTGTGGTTCACCAAAACACAGTCCTGTCTCTTCCCTGAAGAAGGCAAGATTTGCCCCAGTTGCCATCCTCTGCAGAATCGTTCCTGGACCTGTTGTGCCAACACCTCCTCACGCAGCCATTGCTTTGGCAGAATTGCTTTAGCAGAAGGGACAGACGAAGGCAGCACTGTTACAGCCATGTGGCATGGGGGGACACAACTGCCTCAAACACCCTGGTGACTTTCTGGAGGGTGACCAGAAAACCATAGCAGCCCCGGGAGAAAACTATAATTGATGCCCTAATGGAGAGCTTTTAGCTGCCAAAACGCAAACCTTCCCCTCAGATTTCTGCTGTGCTTTAGTGCCTATCGATTACTGGGGCAAATGCATTATGTTAGCAAAAATAAGCTTTCCCTGATCAAACGTATGCTTTATCAGCCACATAAATGCCAGCATGACTCTCTCATTGCTACAACATATTAAACACCTTGGAAATGTTTCCTTAAACTCTAGGTCAGTCTTATGAAATCCGTCTACTTGAGAATAGGAAATTGGGAGAGTTTCAAGATTTAAACACAAAATATGTAAAGGTAAGGAGAAATATAGATTTCTTTTCTTCCTGCTACTACATACAGCCTTTAATGAAGGGCCTGACCTTGCTCCCACTGAGACAATGGAAAACACTTTGCCATTGTTTTTAATGGGAGCAGGGGCGATGGAGTTGTTGAGTTCTAGTTTCATGGGACTATGCAGCTTGGCTTTGCAGGGCTTCAGGGGAACCTTTATTCTGTTTATGATCATGACCCCAGAGTTTCACTATGAATATTGGGTTCAGGGGAATCCCAAAGTTCAGTGGTGAACATGGTCAAAGATGTGGAGAGGCAGACTTGTCTCCCTACTGAATTGCAGCAACATGCCTGGGTTGTTACGTGACAAATGGAGGGCCCAGGTGTTTACATAGTTCTGCCAGGCAGATTCTGTATAGCTCCAGTTTACTTTGGTAATGGGCATAAGGGTGAACATAAAGAACTTGATCATTTGGTTTGGGGGACTATTTCCTGTTGTTTCCTCCACTGCCAAAACAGTTCAAATTCAAAAATGTTGGTCTGGACCCTGGTTCTGGATCTAACCTTCAATTCTTGGCTGTTCTGCCTCAGGAGTTCCTTTGAGAAGTGGGAACTAGTTGCAAAATTTGCATTCCAATTTGGATTTCAAATGCTGTCCAAGTTTAGGCTGTTCCCTATTTGTCTTTTTGCCCATTTCAAGTAGTATGTGGATTGGGATTCCAATTTTGCAGGTGTTCCCACTGTGGCTGGTTTGCATTTTGAGGCTAGGGTTTGATTTGGACGTTTCTCAGGTTCACTGGCAAAAATTGGTCACTCACTTGATACAGAAGTCCCCAGCAAGAGTGTGGGCTTGAGAAACTGGGATGTTAGGGCTCATTAACTCATGTAAAGTATAGCACTGAATATTCAAAAGAACACATTCGTTAGGAGTATTTAGGACTTGTCTGTCCTGGGGATTGCCTTTATTCCAGCCTTTTTTCTCCAGTTATTGGCATGGCTGCACCATTGCAGACTGGCCTGCTGTCAGGAGCTTTCCATCTCTACCTACCCTTGTTTAACTACTCTGGGGCACATCCAATGACTGGCTCTTAATGGCTGGAATTAGGTTTAATTCCCACTGACAAGGTGTTCTGGACATGTCGGCTCCATTGGTGCAGGGACAGGTGAGCTGGCTTCCACATTTGCAAATCAGAATGGGATATACTGGGGTTGGGACATGGTATAGACACATTAGCTATTACCCCACTATGAGCCTTTTGGGGTATTGAGGCAGTATAGTGATGTTCACATGCCATGACACCCAAGATTAGGTGGACATTGCTATAGTGCTTCCAGAGTGAATCCCAGAAAGCTGTACAGGGCTGTGTTACTCCTGTAAGATGTGCCCTGTGAAGGGGGAAGTGTGTTTCTCTCTCAGGGGTCCCTTAGGAATGTGATACACATGGTGATGGGTCTCTTAGGTGGACCCTTCTACTCTCCTCATGAATGGGGGTGAGAAACATAACAGATCAGCTTTTGCTTCTACTCTGGAAAACCAAAGTCATCTTGAGAGAGGATTCTGGATCACATTGCTCATATGGCTATCTTTTTTTAACAGAGTATAATTCGTGTAGTTTTCCATGACCGCCGCCTGCAGTACACAGAGCATCAGCAGCTCGAGGGCTGGAGGTGGAGTCGGCCTGGGGACCGCATCCTTGATATAGGTGAGACTATTTCCTTGTGGCACCTCTGCAGTGTTGGGGAGATGAGTGGTGTTTGCACCTAAACATGTGTGTTTAGGCTTTTTATGAGTCCTCGATGTCTTTGGGAGGGAAGGAGATCTAGCACTATAGGTCCCTAGTAGAGATGTCTTTGATGGCTTCGCTTTCACATGCATGTTCTGATTGTATGGAAATGCTTTCTCCTCTTCAATTTAATATTTTTAAAATTTTAGGGGTTTTCTTCTACAGATATCCCGCTGTCAGTTGGTATCTTGGATCCCAGGGCTAGTCCGACCCAGTTGAACACTGTTGAATTTCTCTGGGATCCGTCAAAGAGAGCTTCAGCGTTCATTCAGGTAAGAGACTGAGTCATATTTCTATAGTAAATACAGTGGTTAGATATCTTTTAAAGACCTGGGGAGATAAAATAGCCAGTACGTGAACAAGAGGGAAGGATGTTTATGATAATTACTAACTCATGTGACAATCATGTGTAACTAATTTGTAGGATACTAAATCAGTTTGCTGGCTACTTGTTAATGTTGGAGTGCTACCTTCTGCTGCCATTTTCTTAAAAAAAATACTCAGACACTGGTGTTGCTTTCATGGATAAGTATTGTCTTGAGGGAACGGTTCATAACCTGTTAGTTTTCCTCACTTTCCTCTTTCATGCCTGTTTCTCATTCTGAGCATCAGCTATCTGTTTTTAATCTGAATGAGGGATTTACTTAAATCAAAGGATGCTTTTCCTGATGCCCTGTTTCTCTCTGAGCTGCTGGTTCTCCTGATTTTGTCCAAAGGAACAGAAATGAAAACACATGACATACTGTTAGTTTTTTGTGAGGAGTCAAAACCTCATGTTCAGGCAGTATCTGAAATTCAGATGAGCACAGGTTCCAACTGTCACCAGAGATGAGCACAGCTTCTGTTTTGCCAGGTACATTGCATCAGCACAGAATTCACTCCACGGAAGCATGGAGGAGAGAAAGGGGTGCCCTTCCGGGTGCAAATCGACACCTTTAAGCAAAATGAAAATGGTGAATACACAGAACACTTGCATTCTGCAAGCTGCCAGATCAAAGTGTTCAAGGTATGAGGTAGTTTTGGCTTTGTCATCAACTAGATTAAGGCACAGGAATGTGCAAAGATTTCAGATTGTGTAGGATCAATGCAAACATTGGAGTAAAAACCAGATTTTTAACTGGGTATGCTTAAGATCTTAAACAGGACTCCTGTGCACACGGTGGCATAAACACTGACCTGCACAGCAATTCTAGCTGAAGTGTTGCACCAGGACTTGTGCCAGTCCATTGTGCCTCAAACACTACAAAAATTCTGAAATATTTAGGGTATCCAATGTGTTTTGATGCTTCTAGGCAATCAAGACATTAGGGCATCTTCAGTTTCTTTGATTGAATCCTACACAAACAATAAAATGTTATTGTGGAGATCTTAAATACCATTGTCAGAGCAGAGTTTGACTCTGTGATACCTGGAGGAGAAAAAGATTAAAAGAAAAAGCATCTTTGAAGCTCCTAATCCAGGCATGGCAGACCTATAGCTACTTAACAACAAACTCTCCATTGGCCTGTTTTCTCAAGGGATCTGCTGCTCCACTTTTGTTCCTGTGAGCAGTGTCTTTCCTCTTTCTGGAAAGATGGTACAAATGCCAGTTGAGGTGCATAACTTATGGACTGAAATAGTTGGAATCACATCTCATGACTGTGGTCAGCTTATTTTAGAATTGCAGTAGGCGTTAGTGGTGGATGTACAGGAACAGTAGGGATTTTTGATTAATTCTTTTGTCTAGAAAATGCAGATCTGATCTCGTTTCATATGTAGAATTCCTGTAAATCTTAAGGAGGCTTTGGGGAACTGATTAGATAAATCTGTTGGCCTCTATCTTCAAACTTGTAATACTTGGCATAAGGGAGAGCCTGTGCTTGTACTTATAGCCTAAAGGAGCAGACAGAAAACAGAAGACTGACAGGGAAAAAATGGAAAAGAAGACCATCCAAGAGAAGGAGAAGTATCAGCCTTCCTATGAGACAACTATTCTCACAGAGGTAAAGTGTTTTAGATACATCATACAACATCATGTTGGGAGATAAATGTAAAAGAAAACATCATCTGAGCCCTGGAGATTGTCTTGTGGAGACACGTATGCTCAGATCTGAGTGAAACTGAGAGTGGAGCGAAATTATAAAATGACTCACTGCTGAAATTTATGAAAGATGCCAAAGTTTTTTATGTTTTGGGGTATAAACCAACCCTTAGCAGCCTGGCTTTAAAAAAACCCAAACCAACTTTCTCAATTTCCACTGTGCTTCTGGGCACTTGTCATGGCCTCAGGTGCTAGTTGTACGAAAATACAATTGTCTGTGTATTTTTTCAGAACTGCTTGGCAAAAGCTCCTGTTGGAGATGAGGCACTTGAACAGATGCTGATTAAATTATTAATTTGTTTTTCTGTGAAAGTGCCTATGAAGCTGTTGTCACATGCAAAATCTGAGAAGATTCTAGGTTGTACTCTAGTAATATCTTGTGTCTTATATTCTGATGCATCCGGTGTAGAGTTGTATATGTTTCTGCCCCTCCCTGTCATTACTAAGATGTTTGTATAAACTTACCATAGGCTGAACAATTAGTCAGCAACAGGACACAAGAAAGGGATTTAAAATTGTTGTTCAGTCTCCCTATGGGAATGACTTGTTGCTTGATTTAGTTATTTTTTTTGGAGCAGCTTGCTGGACTTCAAAAAATGATGTTAATTATTCTTAATTTCTATCAACTTGCTGTTTGTGAGATCCGGTCTCTCCCACTCAATTTTCCTCATGTTGCCAGGAGCAACCAGCATGTTTTCTGATTGACAGACCTAATTCTACTGAGCTGGCAGATCCCAGACTCTCTCTATGAGCTTTGATGCACTTTGACATATTGTGTGGGGAAATGTGGGTTGCCAAAGAGTTAAATATTTGCCAGTGCTTGTGGAGATGATAAAATATTTGCTAGTGTTTGTGGAGATGATAAAGCTCCAAAGCTACACTTGCTGTCTTTTTATCATTTCAAACAAGGCCACTACAGAGCATTTTCTTGAGCTCTTAGTGGTGGGGGGTTCAACAGGGCTAGATTTCTCCTGCTGATTACTGCGGCTTAAATTCAGAACAGAGTCACCAATGCTAGCTGGGTTACTCTGGTTTTACACTACTGTCATGGAATGTGGAGTCTGACCTATATTTGTGAAAGCTTTTAGTAGCTTTGTGTCTATCTTAAATTTTCCCCATCTAATATCCATTTATGACTGTGCTGTTCGACTAATGGCCAGAGGTTTCAGCAGGCTGGTTCAAATTCTGCTCTTTTGCTGGTATAAACCTGAAGCAATGCCACTGGAGCATTTTTGTCACTCTTGCCTGGATTTAATTAGGGGTTTATAATTGAGACCAGGGGTATTTGTGTATCATTGCTGCCTTCAGTCTGAGTTGACTTACTGGCATTGCTCTGACTTACAGCTGTGCACACTTTGGCCCAGTGTTATTTGGGGACAGGCTTTGTGAAATGGGAGAAAGAAATATGGAATGCACAACTGGAATCAATCTGGCCCCCTGACAGCCTGCTTGGAGAGCAGTGTAGAAAATCCATGGCCCATCTCCTCTTCCCAGCAGGAGTGATGAGCTGAAGTTAGTGGCGTGGCAACAGCATGAATGTGGTATTAGAGGAGAATCGAATCCTTTATTTCCATCCTTATGAAAGTTTCCCTGCTGCCTTTCTTCCAACAGTGCTCTCCCTGGCCAGATGTGCCTTATCAAATGAACAATGCTCCCTCTCCAAGCTACAACAGTTCTCCCAACAGCTTCAACCTCGGAGATGGGTATGTAACAAATACATGCTTTATGTTTCCTGTTGATATGGTAGCCTTTGTGTATCCATGCATTTCATACCCTGGAAGATGACACTAAGGATCACCACCCTTTCTAGCGAGGAGGAAGTATTTTCCAAAAGCCTTTAAGACCTCCCACCCAGGAATTCTCTGCAATGTAGAATACTGTTTGTACATGCACTGTTTATGTGGTGGCTGGAAGAGGGCCTCCAGGGCAGTTCCTGGTGAGAACTCACCATGCAAGCCCCAGTATCTTCTCACAAGTGTGTTAGAGGCTTTCAGAACCTCTTCAGAGTTGGTATTTCTTCTGTACTTTGTCTTGTGATAGTTTGGGGTGCTGAATTCCAAGTGAATGACGTGTCAAGAAATCCTGTTTGGGCAAAACAGCCTGCGTTTTGAGATGCCATTTCAGAACAAAGGACTAATGAAGGCATGTTTAATTCGTTAAATAGCCATCATAATGAGACAGCTCCAGTGATTCTGAAATGCTGAAGATGATAGCTGGTGTCAGAAAGGTACAGCAGTGTCCCTCAGTACTTAGGAGTCCTCCCTGCTACATACTTCCCCCTAGGAATTTGGCATAGGCCTTTCTCTTTTGGTAGGACTCTGCTGTCTTACTGCCTTCCCACACAACTTAATTACCAGGTTGTATTAATCCATGTTGTATCACTAATTTGCAATGAATCCCCTCAACCTATGAGAAAGAACCAACGCTGAAATGACAAAATTTTGTGTTAGTAGAGAGATCTGAGTATTTTTTTTCCTTTGGTAAAATCCCTGATATGTTTAGGAGTCCTGTCTGTGTTTAGGATAATTTAGTAGAAATGTGGTTTGTGCATGATTTATTGCATTTGGTTATGTTTAAGATAACACCAGGGTTGAATTATAAAGTCCTTGATTCAATTTTTGTAAAGAATTATTATTAGACAGTGGATTTAGCTAGGATATTTCTGACTTAACAGAAATTTAGAGTTCAGCCACCCTGTAGGTTACAATTGTCTTGCTTAGATGATGTCACATTAGTGAGTCAACCATATCCATAAGCTTGATTGAGGTCAGTAAGCCTGAGTTTTTCTCTCAGTCTTGAGGAAGACCTCAACTGACCAACAAAAGACTCAGGTAGAGAGGTTTTTTTTTATTCTTGTTCCAAATTTTGAACACCTTTTTAAAAATCTGATAGAGAAAAAAAGCCAAGTTGGATGTAACTTCTGAAAGTTGTGTCAAGTAGAGGAGGGGAAAGGAGATGAACACTGCAATGTAAAATTTAAAATAATGTGTTTTTTTTCTCTTCCAATTTTATATAATTTCTTTTAGCAACAGTTCTCCAACCCACCAAATGGAGCTCCTGCCTCCCAGCAATGATGTAAGTACTTGAGATCATGTTAATGTGGTGCTTTTCTCTTTTAGGACACTGGTGAACAGTTCATTTCAAGACCTTCTTATTCTTTTTGCAATGTAGCATCTCCTTCCTTCTGCTTCTATTCAAGATGCCCAGCAGTGGCTTCATCGTAATAGGTTCTCTCCATTCTGTAGACTCTTCTCAAGTTTTTCGGGTGAGTTTAAACAGTCCAACTGTTTGTTTTTTTTTCCCTTCTGTAAGTGAATCTCATGTAGGATCTTCTGCTGGCCACTTTTGATGGGATTCTTGGTCTGATCCAGTGTAGTTGTTCTTTCCTTCTTAGATTAGTTACCACTTGTCAAAACAGTTTTTAGACCTCTAGAGTAAGTAAAAATGGAAGAAAATAAATTAAGATAGAAGGGATTTCCTAATTTCATTAAGTGCAACTTTGAAGCAAGTCCAGGGCCTCGTGCAGTTGCCTTTGAATATCACCAAGGTTGGAATTCCAGAGTCTCTCTAAACAACCCCTTCAAATACTTAACTATTCTGACAGTGAAAATGTTTTTTCTTCTATCTAATTAGCTTTTCATCTTCTGTCTGCTGCCTCTCATCCTGTCCCTGTGCACGTTTAAGAAGCATCTGGCACCTTCACTGTACCCTCTCATTAAGTAGTTGTACACACCAGTAAGATGTGGAAGGGGCAGTGGTTGGATATGTTGAAAACACGAGGAGACTCTCTCTGACTTGCAGCATGATGAAATAACTCGGTGAATGTGACAATTACAGAAGACTGGGTCGTTTAATGTCCAGTGTGAAATATCTAACTTGTTTATGAGTTGGCTGGAGTATTTTCCAGTGCAGCACTCTTCCTTTGGCAGCTTCCAGCTTTCTGTTTCACAATGATTTATTTGAAGTGCACACCTCTCTGAATTTGCAACTTCTCTGTGTAAATCTATCTGGTTTAGCTTTGTGGATTCTCTACTCCCTCTACCCCTGCCCTTTTCTGCTGCCCATACATACAATTTGGAAGCTACGATTTGCTTAACTTCTGAAGAAAACTCAATTTGAAATATGTAGGTGCCGACTTACTGAAGATGTCCAAAGAAGATTTTGTTCAAATCTGTGGACCTGCTGATGGAATTCGGCTCTTTAATGCAATAAAAGGAAGGTTTGTACTATTTCCTTCCTATTTTTTTTTAGGATCCCTTGATAATTTCAGTTTTAACCAGAAGTTAATCCTGGAGCTGAAGCATTTAGATTTTCTTTTCATACTTCTCTCATGGACTGGAGATCACAATGATACTCAAATCCAAGCACATGTCAGAAATGTTGCCAAAACGAAGCAGCATAATGTGGATCTCTAGTGGTTTATTTGCAACCAGCTGATAGCTTGCATCCATTTCATGGGATACACAGCCTACAATACCCTATGCTGCATCTCCATCAGAGGTAACAAACAATAAAAAAACAAAGCCCTGGAGCCTCAAATGACTCTTAAACATACTTTCATTGCAATAACCTCATAAATTCTACAGCTGAGCAGGATTTAAATCAGTAGAGGCAGGTATGATGAACTGTTTAACAAGTGCTATAAACTCTTTATTCTTATCTGATCTCGAAAAGATTAAGGTGCTCTGCATCACCTCCCAAAGGTCTCTTGCTAGACATCCTAAACCATCTAGTCACCAGCATCAAAACTGTCCCTTAGTTTGTTATTTATGCACGGCCCGAATAAGTCCATCTCTTGCTGTCTGATAGCTGTCCTGGAACTATTTCAGATCTAAATAACTTACTACTGTTTTTGATTAATCCATAGAAATGTAAGGCCCAAGATGACAATTTATGTCTGTCAAGAGCCAGAGCAAAACAGGTCCCACCTCCACCAAAAACAAGAAAACGGAGATGGCAGCCTTTGTGGTAAGTTCTTATGTGTGGATTTTGTTAAACACTTACCTGGTGAGAGTGCTGCTTTCTGCCTGAGCTCCTATGAGGGACAGCTGCATGTCCTTAGTGTTTGAAGGGATCCTGTTTATCCCAGTTTTGCCACTTTGGTTGTAGTTTCACGGCTACAGATTCCAAAGGGTGCTGTCTGCCTGGGAGACAGACCCAGCTTACAAATTATCTGCAGAATACCACAGCAAAATCCCTATTCCGTTTTTAATAGGGAAAATAGCATTAAAAACCACCCTTCTATCCACAGTTTTCTTTAGATCATGTCTTGTTTGAAAAAAATTCAGGGAAATGGAAGGTTGGTAGGTCTTAAAGTGAGGTTAAAATTCTTGAAATTTCAAAGCTTTTGGAAATTTGTCATCCTTCATGACACAATGTACAATCAAATGAGATTGATTACCCTTAAATTTAAGATTACCCTTAAATCTTGCATTTAGTAATAAACAGGCACAGCTTTCCTACCTGGTAGCTATAATTTGGATTAGATTTCTTAAACAATACTGTCATCCATGTTGTTACCTTATACATAGTATGTTTTAGTTTGTGCCCATGGGATCAGTGGATGGTATCTAATAAAATACTGCTTTTGTGTGACATAGCATGTGTTTTACTCTTTGATTGAATTCTTTTTTTAAACTTCAAAATCAATAAAAAGAGATAATCCAAAAATATAAGCAGTTTTACGAGAAGGCTGTTTTAGCACCCTGTGATGCAAGTAGTAATTAGTCCCCATGTTTTCCTCTGGGTAAAAGTTGTGTGTGCTTTAATTGCCTGCTGCATACAAATAGTGGGTATTTTTCTGCAAATCATCAAGCCAGATATTTGGGGGATGCTTTAAAATACTAAGCTTGTTTATTCCATTTGATCCTTCATCTTAAACCCATTTGGTTGTTGATGCTGAGTGACTTGGTGCCATCTGTATTTGTTGTTCTGTAACTTCTTTCCACTTGTTGCAGTGTATCATGCAATCTTCTTAGAAGAACTGACCATTCTGGAATTAATGGAGAAGATTGCAAACTTGTACAGCATTTCTCCACAGCAGATAAATCGGATCTACCGGCAGGGACCCACAGGGATCCATGTATTAGTGAGCAATGAGGTAAGGGGGCTAAAGGGGGTTACATCTTTGTCAGACATGTAACAGTTGTCTGACTTCTTGAAGTTGGAATGAACTCTCAAATTATGGCATTTTAAGGGAGAATTGTAAAGCCATCAATCCCAACAAGTTAAAGGAGCAAATCGGCCATGGACAGCACTGACTTCAGTGTGGTTTCAAGACCAATGTTTTGTAAAAGATGTTTGGGTTCTTCTTTGGTTTTTTTAAGCAAAAGAAGACAAAATTGTTAATTTATTGTTCTCTACAACTACCTGAAAAGAGGTTGTAGCAATGTGGGGCTCTGCCTCTTCTCCCAAGAAACAAATGTCAGAATGAGAGGAAATGGCTCAAGCTGTACCAGGGAAAGTTTAGACTGGGTATTGGGAAAAAATTGTTTATTGAAAGGGTTATCAAGCATTGGAATGGGCTGCTCAGGGAAGTGGTTGAGTCACCATCCCCGAGGGTGTTTAAGTCATGTAGCTGTGGCACTTGGGGACATGGTTTAGTGTTGGACTTGCTGGTGCCAGGTCAATGTTTGTGCATGATGATCTTCGGGGTTTGCTCCCACCTAAATGATTCTATTAATTCCTTTTAATTTTGGCTACTAACACACATTTTGAAATGAGGATCTAAATTTATTTTAAAATAAATAGGTATGTTGCCCAAAGAAGGTAAGTTTTAAAATTCCTGGGGCAATTAGTTTCACATCTTGGCCCATGATTCCAGGCACCGAGTCTGTCACTGTATACACACACCATAATTTATGGACCTCTGCCACTGTTTCCTATTATATGATGCCTTAATTTAGTCCATTCCATTAACTTACAGGTTAATAGTGAGTTGCCCTTCATCCTCTTTTCCTCCTACTAAACTACTTACTCATTCATGCACCAGAATCACTTAAGGAGCTTCATTTATAAGAAGCATTTTTAAAACAAATGAAGCAGAGCATAGGTCTCAACTGGAGCCTAAATTGAAGGCTGTAATGCTTATTCCTGAAGTCTCCTTGCTATTCCAGCCTGATTAAATCTGAAACTTTGATGCTTTATGGATGCAAAGTGCTTGGAGGCAGCTCTTGGTAGGGGAATTGCATGAACCAGCCTGGGTAGAAAGCTTTAAGTATTTGTTTAAGTTATTTATTTACAAGGTCTATTGCTTTTCTAATATTTTTTTCTTGTTCTAGTACTATAGTGGCAAGAGTGTGGTACTCTGTGAATGTACTTCATGCATCATTAGGCAAAGACACACAAACTGGCCAGAGAAGTTTGATTTGAAGGAGTAGAGATTGGATGTTAAATCCAAAAGAGTATAGGGAGATCAGTCTAAATTGAAAAGGGTATTTTGATGTGAGAACTTGCAGCTGAAAAATGTACTTCTTGAATGATACCCAGTAGCTAGGAAAAGGCTTTTTCACAAAGCTGGATTTCATGAACTGATTGGAGAGGTTCTGGTCATACCTCTCTTCTCTGAAGTTGTGTCCAGCATTTGCTTCAACTGTATGAGACACCTCCTGAAGGTAATTCACCTCTTTAACCCCACATAGCTACTCTAAGATGGGAGGAAGCATTGGCTAAGATGAATCTTAAATGGGCTTCTCATATTAGATCTGAAATAATCTCTTTGTTTAAAGGTGCCACTAGAATCTGCACCTTTTCTGAAAATCTAGTTGCCACTTATGAGTAACTCAAATAGCTTTAGGTTCTAGTCTTTCATCCCATGATTTGCCTCTCACAAAGGTTTCACTACAATTCCTGTTCCTTGACAAAATGCAAACAGGTAAATGATTCCTGCAAGCACAGCATCTGTACTAATGTCTGATCAAAACAGCCAGATGGATGCTGCTGGGGGGCTTCTCAGTAGCAATTTCTTTATTCAGCAGGGAGTCCATTTCTTGGGGTTTACCATTTCCAGGTATTCTTTAAATGCTAATGTAAATTCAGCTGAGCTCCATTGTTTAGCTGAATATGTAATTACCTCTGTTGGATTTTTAGGAAAGGGACTACCTTAATCCTATATAAACTAGTACAGCTTCACTGAAAGCAGCAAAGGACATGATCTTTAATAGAATAATTGGAGTGGTGTAAGAGCCTTTGGGATCAAGAGCTGCAGAGAGGCTGGTAAAATGCTGAATAAGCTGGATCAGTTTCAGGCAAGCACATTTAGTGTGAACTTCTCTTAAACACACTAGCAACTGCACGGACCTTAATTATCAGTTGTGTATGTTAATAACCTCATGGGCAGGGTTACTCAGTACTGTGCAGGACTAGACACCAAATGCTGTTTGATACATCTCCTCTAAGTCTGTACTGGCCCTGAAAGAAATGTGAATTTCATTGCTAAAAACGTGTTGTGTTGGCTTTTTTCCTTCTGCCCTTCAGATGGTGCAAAACTTCCAAGACGAATCTTGTTTTGTTATCAGCACATTAAAAGGTGTGTATTGCTGTTGCTGTTACCTGTTACTCTAAAGATAATTCTTCCTTTCAATTGCACTAAATGTTATCACAAACTCAATGCTGTTATCCTGAAAAGATAAGTAATCTAATCCAGAGCAAGTCAAGGTGTTGACTACACTATGATAGACTGATTGATTAGTGTTTTACTCTGTTACACTGTTACAAAAATTTCATAAATCCATTGACACCACTGACATAAATGAGCAGGAAATCTTTGAGTAAAATTATAAAATATGGCAATATGTAAGGTTTTTTATGTGAATTATTTGATTTAAATGTTCAACATTGTTTTTTATGAGCGGGTTGTGAAACAAATGTACGAACTATTGCAAACTACCTAAAAAAAAGAATTTGAAGTTATGTATCTCTGGTGTTTCCTAGAAGCAATGAAAATATTCTTTGCATTTCTTTATTACAGCTGAAAGCAATGATGGCTACCACATCATTTTAAAATGACCGTGCTGCACAGAGAGACTTTAATGGCCTAAAATTTAGTGCCTCACTGAGATTGCTAACAACCTAGACTGGAAACATGAAGAACCTTCTGGATAAATGCTCCTGAGAACTAAGAATTACCAAACAGCTTAAGAAAAAACTTGCTTTTACGGATAGAAATTTTTGGTGGTGTGTGATTTTGGTGGGTTTGGTTTTGGTTTTTTTTTTGTTTGTTTTTTGTTTTGGTTCTTTTAGTTTTTTAAGCTGGAGCTGAGAACATCCTCAAAGCTTGTACATGTTTTTTCCTTCCTCCCCTCCTCTTCAGACTTAAAAATTGTAGAGGTTTCTGCTTTTTACTTAGAAACATCTGCCTTGTACTAAAAGGAAATGGAAGATAAACAAATCCCAATTCTCTTGACCCCTCATATTCAGGTGAATTGATTTACTTACGGTTCTGAGTGCTCTCCTGCTTTCAACACACACCCTGATGCTGATGCATGTAGGCTCCCCAGGGCTTCTCTTGTACTCTTTGAGGTGGAAGGCTTGAGGCTACTTCCCAAAACAGACTGGGCAGTGCAGAGGATGGGTTTGGTGCCCAGCCTTCACCCAAAGTGTCGACTCTGGAAGCCCACACTTAGCTGTTCTCCACCTCCAGATGTGCTCAAAGTCCAGAGACCTTGGTCTCTCCTGACAGACCTTCTGTAGGACCAATCCAGCAGCGCAGTTCTGGGGGGGTTCAAGGAAGGACAGACAACTTGAGGCAAGCAGTTCAGTACCATATTGTTATCTTTAGCTTTAGAGTAGCCTCCTTGAATGGAGCATATGGAGGTTTACCGAGAACTGCTTTGAACACTGAAAGCTATAGTGCTCATGACAAATTCATACCATGGATTTATTCTACTCTACAAATTAGTGATTAACTGCTATCTTTACTGTAACTGGGAATTGATGTTATAATCTTAATGGATTTTCATCCTGTTACTGAAGTAAAACTGTTTTGATAAAGACCAGGTAACAGATCATCTTAGTTGCTGCTTCTTACATTCTTGCTCTTTCACTTTTCACTCCTATTTCCCATATCTGTAACTATGATCAGCTCCACCCTCCCTTGGTCTTTCGGGACTCCGTCCAGGCTCCATTAATCTAAAAAAGTGGCTTCCACTGAAGTCAAAGGCAAACTGGATCACACCTTTCTTGCATGGATGAAACCATTTCACTTTTTACAGCTCAATAATATGGCTTTTTTCCCAAACTGAGTGTCTGTATACCATCAAAATTTGATTTTTGAACATTTAATTTCCTGAACTTACATGGAAAGCTGAAATACCAAACATTTTCCTGGAATGGAAATTTTTCAAAAAAATGAGAAATTGTCAGCTGGAAAACACTGAATAAAATGTTCCAGCCTTTTGAAATGGAAACATTTAATTAAATCCATTTGGCCCTTAAAGCAGCATCAGTTTGAGCTACCGTTGCAGCCCTCAGAAATTGTCATTCAAGTGCCTTGTGCGCTGTGTCTCCCTCAGGGCTGAGCTCTCTGGCTGAATTACAGATCCCATGATGCTCCTACCCTGGGTTAGTCAAACAGGGAATGCGTCATGAGGGCTGGAGAGGTGCCCAGGGAAAGAGGGGGCCATGGAGCCCTTGAATTACAGCTCCCAGCTGACACTAGAGGAATTCGGACAGGCACGGACTGATATTTCTCTGACAAAAGTTATGTGTTTCAAGTTTTCCCAACAGAAATAAACAGCAAAATATTGAGAAAAGCATCCTTTTTTTGATTAAAGCATCAAGTTTTGCGCAAAAAACCCCACCCATCCCCACTGATTTTTTTTTTTAAGACCAAAAATAATACTAGAATAGAAAACTTGTGTTACAATGGGAAAACCTTCTGCCAACTCAGTTAATTGAGCAGCAATGCCTACTTAGGCACGATCTTGCTCAACTGACTGTCCTGGATGCTCCACAAATTGTAGGCATGCAAAAAGGATGCCTAGGCTTTGGGACATGGTGGTTCCCCCTTCTGACATGAAGGAATTGAGGCTTCTTGGTTGAGAACCAAAGTGTGTAGGTAAGGAGGAGCTCCTGGCCATGGAATCCAGGCTGTGGCCACACATAGCTGCCTTCCAAAACAGTGAATTAATTCCAGATGCCTTTGTGAGCAGGTGGGATCAGTGTGCCCCTGTGCACCAGGAGCTGTTTGATTTATTTTCTGGAGGGTGCTTTGGAAGGTGGATGTTGGCTGTGGCTTTTCATCCTGCTCTGTAATACTGGCCCAGTGTATGGTATGGCTGTCACTGGTGTGCAGCTCAGGTGAATCTGACCTCATGGGAAGGGTTCTAAATAGACCTTGAAGTTTTCCATATCATACCCACTTAGATGTGATAGCCCTGTAACTGTGGGGACACAACAATACTGATACACAGTAGTGAAGAAGGGATAGAGGTGGCTTTGCTGCCTGAGTTAGGGAATGAGAACTGTTTGCTTGTTTTAAGAAGGCTAGTTTCTCAATTCTTTAAAAAACAACTCTTGCCCATAATGAATGAATATAATGAATTATATGCCAAAGTCCTCATAGTGTTTCAACAGCACTTGCTTGATTAATTTTGAACAAAAAGAAGTCTGTTAGGGCTTTGCTGTATTTAGATTTTTTAAAATAAAATAATTACGTACTCATCTGAGGATGAATTTGACAATGTATCTTGTTTTCATGCTCTAAAAAGGTACCAAAGTAAACAATCCCATAGACTATAAATATTTTTCTATGGGTTGGCTCTGTGTGAGCCTGTTGTAAAGCTGTACATCTCGGGGGTGTGTGTTTAATACCTACCCTTATTTGACAGAGTAGTTCCAGTCCTTGTTGAGCCTCTGTAGCCCCAGTAGGAAGTTGGAGGTTTGTGGTTGAGTAAAATACACATCCATGAAGACACAGCATGGCTGGTTTTTTGAGTTACTTCAGCTTAGAATCATAGACTGATTTGAGTTGAAAGGGACCCTTAAGGGTCACAGAGTCCAATGCCCTGGTCCTTACAAGAGTACCTAAAACTGATCCCTGTGACTATGAGTGTCATCCAGAGCAGCCCAGGTGCTCCTTGAACTCTGGCAGGCTTGGTGCCATGACCAGGGGCAAGGGAAGTCCCTGGGGAGCCTGTCCCAGTGATCAACCACTCTCCCAGTGAAGAACCTTTTTCCAGTGTCCAATCTGAACTTGCCCTGATTTAGCTTCATTCCATTCCCTTGCTTCCTGCTGCTGGTCACCAGCGAGAGGAGATCAGCACCTCCCCTCCACTGCTGCCCTTGAGGAAGGTGCAGAGAGAGAAAGAAAGACTTGTCTCACCTGTGTGTCAGGTAATCCTTGACTCCCCTTGGATCTCCCATCCCTGGAGGGACTTGTTTGACCTGTTTGTGGAAGTGACAGCACCTAGAAGGAAGTTTTTGTTTCCTTGACCAAAGGAAGCACAAATGTTTAGTCTGGGATAGATATCTAAATTCTAGATAGACTAAAGGCAAGGGAGGTGAGTAGCTCTCACTCATCTGTTGACCTGAGAATTAAACCTTATGATCTTGTTTTCATAGTTTCTAGCCACTTTCCCAGGAAAGTAACTATAAACATAGATGTTTATACATGCCATTAAAGAAATGTCTTTTGATGGACGTTTCTCACAACCAGTGTGATTGGGAAGGTGGTAACCTAACCATCCAATCCCTGGTCATTGTAGAGAACCTATAAATATTGCAATAAATCACTCTCTTTTCCCTATCATACATTGAGCTGTGTCTGTGCAAATCATTTTGTGTCCTACAGTGACACTCACTCATCTAAATAGCATTTACGTTTTCCTTAAGTGCCTATTACACTTATTTTTACTCTTTTTTATTGTTGTTGCTCCTATTCCTTTCTTAAAAAGTAAGAAAACCTACTCAAAGTGATTTAACTGGAACTTTTTTCAGCTATATGTGAAATTTGTGCAGCAGAACTTTATAAGGACTGGGGCTTAGGATAACAGTGAGTGACATGGTTTCCCAAGCTGTCCAGTTCTTCAGTTGTATGCATGATGACAGCCACTATGAGTAAAAGTGGGCTTGCTGGGGATGAAAAGGCAGAATCATTATGTGATTAATACCAATATGACTCCAGTGAGTACTGCAAAGTATAAACTTGCATTCTTGTTGGATCTGTACTGTCTATTTGAAATTTCATAAATTGTAGCATGTTCTCTATCAACAGAATCAATAGGAGATCAATTAATATGACTCTGGTGATGTCCTGAAAACTCACAGTAATGCCCATGATACACAACCACAGGGCAGGGAGAGGGCAAGCAATCTGGTGATAAAAATTTGGCCACCTGACTGAGGTGGCAGGATTGGTGCTATTAAAATTAAAGCTCCTGTTCTTTCAGCTGGCTAAATTAATGGTTAATTGGCTAAAATAGAAATAATCATTCAATATGGAAAATACTGGAGTTCTCATTGTCTTAGTGTGAAATTTAATGGGCTGAAGTTTCAAGACTGGGATGTGGTAAAAGGATTCTTGCATTTGAGAAGCCCTGAATGGCACTCTCCTTATAATGTAACATATACATATATATGCATATATATACATATATATCCACATACATACTGTACTGTATCAACACATATTTGTGCTGAGTACATGTGTTCTTTGGCTTTAACTGGTACTCTGCTTTGTTTAGTTGCAGTTCAATGTAAAAGACTCTGGTTGATCAAGCTTCAAAACCCTGCCATTCCTTGGGTAGAAATGTAAAAGTCCATAGTAGCAACTAGGTGATTTGGACACAGTACACTTGGAGTGATGTAAGTTCGATGAATTTCTGCAATATAAATCCCAGGCCTTGGTGAAGATGAGCATATTCTTTCACTAACACTGCAGTTCTACATTGCAGCTTCTGAAACTTAGTTAGAGAAACAGAGAAATAGATTGAGAATAGCCCAATGCTTTGTGAAATACTAAGGCTACTCCATAAGCAGAACAACCATACGATGACTTTTCCTAGCTCAGTGTTGTATTGCTTAAGCATTGGCTGTAATTCTAACAATCATCTGGTGGATGACTGAAACAGGTTTTTTTTGTCTGTATCTGTTGGGATTTTTTTTTGACTTCTCAAAGAAATGCTTATATTCAGACTAGCTTCTCTTCCTCCTCCAGTTATGAAATGGTTAGCTTTATGCTAGTAATAGAAATATTTTCATAAGATTATAATCTGTTTGACAGCACAGGGTACTCAGAGCGGGGAGTGTTTGGCTTTGATCATCACTACTGTGGGTGAATATGAGAAGGCAGACTGGAGGTGTATCTAACATGCTTGGCTCTCTCTAACAAATGGGTTAAGCTAGTGCCTAATTTTTTGTGCATTTTTGATTTGTACCTTTTTTTTTTGCCATTCCCTCAAAATTCTGTTCCCTGGTGGGGGATGCATTGGTGACCAGACAGTATGCCCAACTTTTTAAAGTAGCCTGCTGTTGTTCTGGTTTGCTTGGGGTGAATGTTTATCTTTCAAAGAGGAGTTCCCTCTCTTCACTGACAATGCAGTTGTTACAAGCAGGCAGTGCTGGCCACAAAATTGGCATGATAGGCAAGGGCAAGTGGAGGTGGGTCGATGGGAGGCTGAGGTGTACCAGTTGTGAGTAAATACTGCCACACTCTTCATCTTTTCATTTGTTGGTTTTTGGGGTTTTTTTTTTGTACATGAATAAATAATAATAATAAAAAAGCATATTTTGCACTGGCTCTTGTACTGTTGTGCAGAAGAAATCTGTATCTAGAATCTGTGCTCCAGTCAAAATGCAAATAAATCTGTTTGTAAGAAGCACGCGTTTGGTCTCTGGTTTGTTTGGTGCGGTTGCGGACAGGAGAGCCTTGGCATCGGCTGCTGCTCAGCATGGGGCTGGGCACCCTCTCAGGGTGAGGGGGAGCAGAGTTTGCAAAGTGCTGGCCAGAGAACATCAGCTGCAGCCAAATGTCCTGCAGCATTTTCTTTGAGTTGGGACTGACTTC